TTCCCGATTCAGCAATATACTCCCGAATATTCTACGAAGCTTCTAAAATGACGATACGCCCGGACCAGAACGCCGACACACGCCAAGTTCCCGATAAAACGAAATTCTACACTTCCAACTGCCAAAATCTTTACCGCGACCAATCCTCGACTACATCGTTAATAGCTAAGGGATACTAACGAGCGATTAATAACGAATATTTCAGAACCCGATTCTCGAGAATCGAAACTGAATTTCCGGTTTCCGAAACTTCCAACGCGACTAAAGTAGAGCCTTATCGACAAGGCTCTTCTCGATACTTCTTAATAGTTTCTCGATGAACCGTGGAACACTTGCCGAACACGAGTGCTAAGGAAACTCAGTTGCGCGAGTATTCCCGCGGTTGTCAATCAGAAGCGCGAGCGCGCGATCGGGAGCGTTCGTTCGCCGAAGAGAACATGAAAGAACGCGTTGCCGAGCAAAGGAAATCTAGCGGTTCTCTACGTTAATTGATTAGCTTTTTTCATTCTTTCCTCCTCTTCGTTATCTCGATCACCCGGGTTTCGGTCCCCGACCTCCTCTGAATCCTTCGCGAAGATGAACCCGGCCACCGTTCGCCCCGTCGCGATCCGTTCGCGGTGAGAAACGTCGGAACCGCTGTCACCCAGCGTCCCCATCCTCATCTAAACGCTAAGTAGGCTAGCCAGACCTCTACGCCTATGAATAAAACGCTATCGATTATATGCACAACACGCAGATGTGAACCCAGAGCAAGTACCGACTGCGCCCGGAAACTGTCCGATCCGTCGATCAGCGTGGCCGCCGGAACGGGCCCATCGAACGCGGAGAATCATTTTCTTTCGTTCGCCAAGGATACGCTTACGCTTCGATTTCCCCTTTTCTCGTTTCTCCGATTTGCTCCTTTGACAGCAAAAGGAACCAAAGAGTTTCATATATTATTCATTTACAAGTGTCCCGTTTCTTTCGAATGTCTCCCCGTTGCACGGTCTCCGATAACCTTGATTCCCGATCGAACATTCCGCGAGCAGATCGGCGTATCACGGGCTGTACCGCCGTGTATTTTAATATTTATATTATGTACATACGGGGCGGCTGTAAATGAAAGTCACACTCGAGCCCTCCTCGCCACCCGCCATTCCGAAGTTCTCGTTGAAACGCAGAGGAAGAGACAGCGATCGAACGCGAAACACCTCGCGCGGAAACGTTCGATCGACCCGATTCGATTTTCGTCTTTCTCGGTCGTGGAAACAGCGTTACGCGACCGATCGGAACGTTCGGAAGCTTAGAACCACCCCGTATACGGAACATTACGAGCGAGAACATTTATGTTAACCGTCGGACGTCAGGATTCGATGATACATCCAATGAATACTACTATCTTCAACGGATTACCGAAGGATTTATTTACTTATCCATTAAGAGATTCATTTATTCAGCTATTGAGAAGTTCATTTAGTTATTTATTTATTCGTTTATTCGTTTATCTATATATCTATTTATTTATTTATTTATTTAATAAGAAATAAAGTTTATAGTGCGATACGATATGACGAGACATTTTATTTCCTACAGATGCGTGAACGATGCACTCCGTCGCGGGTGAAGAACGACCCAGCGCCGCCTTTAACCCGACGTCCAACGATTAAAAGTGAATCATAGTCTACGAACGTGACAGAAATTATTTGTACAACGGTGTTGCACGCCGGTGATCACCGACAGTTACAAAAATTCCGATAGCTAAGGCTCGCAGCTCGACTGTTTCTCGCGCCGACAAAATGGAGTCAAGGATCCGACTCGACGTCCCCGCGCAATCCAATATGGCGGCTGTTTATCGAGCCAGCCAAAAAATCCTGAGATAAACCGCCGTCGAACAGACTCGGAACAATTGAACGCGGTGCACTGCGTAGACGAGAATAATCGATTGCGTAAGTAACAACGAGATAGGAACAAAAAGAAACGAAGGCTGTTCGCCGCAGAACGGGCACGTGTCTTTTATTCAAAATTTCAAATGTCTCCTTTATTTAAGATTTCGAATGTCTCTCGTACATTGAATCGAAATTATCACGTTCCCAAAATATTCTATTCGACCGGAATGATCACATAATTTCGCTTCAGCGTTGAACTACATTATTCTCGTTCGTCTATTTGTTTCTTTCGATGGGGACGTTCGAGTTGACAGTGTCTCGAGCCTCAACTTCGTCGGAACGCGTTTTACGTGTAATATTGCTCTTGCCATGACCGTCGTCGCGGTATTGTTAGTTAGTGGCAGTGCTATTTGACGGATACACGGCGACATTCGCCGCGTTCTTCCACCTTACTCTCTAGAAACACGGTACGTCCGGTCGCACTGGCACTATTCGAAACGAGCAGCGCGAACTTTCCAGAAATTTTATATCAATGAAACACGAACTCATGATATCGGGCTGTCGAAACGCAAAATCTTAACGTCGCGAGCGGACGGCGGATTTTCACGCGTTCGTGGAACGTTTCGGAACGCAACGTTGCGGAGAGTTTAGAAAAACCATTTTCTATCTAGATTCTAGATGCTCCGTTGCGTCCCTGGAAACTCGAGCTCGCACGAAAATCCGCAGGCCGATCGCGAATTTCTCTGAGCATCATTAACCCCGTGTTCTCATCGATCGACGTAATATTGCCTCCGAATTATCGCGCGATGAACCTCGTGACCCCGGACCACAAACTTTCGCTGACGCTCGTATGTTCGAAAATTCTCGCGACATTTCGAGCCACCGATCTTTCGGGATCATCCATAGTTCACATTCGATCTGTCCCTAGCGGAATGTCTGATTGAGGGATGGAAATAAAGAGTGCCGTCTGAACACTTTCCTCTTGTTAAATGAATCAAGGATTTGAAATAAAAATAAGGCGAACCAAACACGTGTCTTTCGTTTGCTTTTTGGTGAAAGGTACCGAACCGATCGAACAAATAGAAACGAATGAAACGATAAGAATAGAAGTGAACGTATTTGAATGCACGGGGTGAGAGAAAGGGTAGATCAACTGATTATCTCGCCTCGAACGTTTCCAATTCGTCGCTGGGAGGACGCTAACGTGGGCGGGTGGCTCAAGTTCGAAGGTGTAACATCAGCTATATAATTTTGCTTTATTTATATTTCAAATTATTTTAATTTAAAAATTACAGAGATCATTTCGTTTACGGATTGTCGGTGATGACAAGAAACGAGAGAATATTGTTTGCGAACGTGTATAATATACGCCTACGATTTAATGATAATTATAATAATATAATAATAATAATAATAATAATAATAATAATAAAGAGATTAATGGAAAGA